AAAAAAAAAAAAAAACATATAGCACTTAGGCAGGGCACAAAGGGCCTGGGAAAGGCCAGGCCCTAGGGAAATGGTCCAGATAGGAAATGAATCTACATTAAGCCTTGAGGAGGCAACTACCACACAGTATGATCCATTCTGAGATAGATGCCAGGATGGGGAGCTAGGGTTCCCCAGGAAGCAATGAATCCAATAGCTACATGAGAGGGAGTGTCAGTGCTGCACCTGAGGATAAGTTAAAACTCTGGCTCTGAATCATATTCTTTCCAAGGGGGAAGCCAGACTTTCCTCACAGGCTTCTATGGCTGAAGACCATCACTGGCCCCTCATCTGGGCCTTGGTTTCCTTGTGGGCAAAAAAAGAGGGCTGGGTTCGATGCCTGCTGCAGCACTTGAACTCCAGTTTATTTTGCTGTCCAGTACAGAACTGCATCCCAAAGTGGGTGGAGGTGTGTCTGAGACCCTTGTCCCTGAATTCTAAAGCCCACAGTGAACTTAGCTGAGGAGGGGAAGGTTCACATTGCCTAACAAAGGCAAAAACAGGATGAGGACTTAAGTTTCCTAATTTCCCATCTTTTGGCCTGCTCCAAGCTTCACCTCTGGTGAAGGACTTCCTAGGACCTTCCTTTTACAAATGAGCACAACAGGATTCCATGCCTTTTTCCTAGGCAGAAGGCAGATTTGGGGGGGCCTGTTGATGGAACCAGGGGGCTCAGCAAAAATAAGAGACTCCCATCCAGGAATGTTACCTAACCATCCACTGGTTAGGATAAAAGGAGAAACATGTGGCAGGGCCAATTCATCATGTGATTTCTGCAACAGGCCTGGGACCCATTGCTCACTGTGACTTTGATCAGGAGGTTGGTATCTCTGGCCAGTTAGGCTCCAGAATTTTTGGGGGGGAGGCCGGGGCTGGGTTTGAACCTGCCACCTCCAGCATATGGGGCCGGCACCCTACTCCTTTGAGCCACAGGCGCCGGCCTAAGCTCCAGTATTGATATCCCAGCTCTGCCTGCAGCCAGCTGGGGCATTTGGAGCAAGCCACTTCATATCTCAGGGTTTCAGCTTCTTCGTTTGTAAAACGGAATTAGTCATTCCTATGTTTAGAGGTTAGTAGGAATCCACGTGCAGCAATCACGAGAGACCTTCACAAAGCACCGTCTCAAGCAACGCAGCGTTTCTTCCGCGGCCTTCCTACCACCCTCCTCTTTCCCTCCTGTTCTCCCGAGACTGGGTCTCGGTCCAGCCTGCCTCTGAATCAGAAAAGTGCCCAAGGACAAATCAACTCCCTCCGTCGGAATGGGTTTGGAACAGGTTTTACTAGGTTAGACTTACCATTGGGAAGCCATAAAGCCTCCCAGAGAGAAAAGGGACCAGTCGCTACGTGCCACCCACCCCGCTTCCAGGACCTCCATTCCAGCGCAAGTCCGGGAAGGGCCTGCAACACCTGGCCAGGCCCAAAGGCCCCCGGGTGGGGTTACCTCCGGAGATGCTGTCCACCTGAATGCGCGGCCCCTGACGCGATGTGATGACTCGCTCACTCTTCCAGGTGCCAGCCCCGCGGATCCCTTCCAGCTCCTCCTCCAGGATGCCTCGCAACTGGGCCAGCGCTGACTGCGCGCGGAAGCCGCCCGGCGCTCTGCGAAGCGCCGCACGCCAGACACTACCAGCCCACATCTCACCCTCCTCGCCCAAGCGCGCCTGCCCGCCTCAGTGCTTTGCGCGTCGCGGCCACTGCCTTCTGTTCACGTGGCCGGGGGGCCGGGTCCCGGTAGCCAATCGTAGTGAGAAAGGTTCACTTAACCGGGAGGGAGAGGCGGGCCCGGGACGAGTAGGCGGGACCTGGCGGGATCCGCCAAGGACAAAAGTGGATTGACTAGTAAGTTGAGACTGGAGAGGTCCGGGTGGGGGAAGGGAAGAGGGGCAGAGGAAGCTGAGTTAGGGCCCAGCCCTCCAAACTCTCCTCCCCATTCTCATACACCTACCACTAGGAAGGAAACCGGGTACTTTCTGGCCCCCAAACACAGCTGAGGCACGTTCAGCTTCTTCCAGCCTGAACGTTTCCCGGTTTCTGTCCAGCTTTTGGAACCCTCCCCCATTCTCAGGTGGAAAAGCCCCCGAGGTCTCCAATAACCGCCACGCGACCACTCCACATTCTGCTCCAGTCTTAAAAATGAGGAAAAATACACCAGTCAGGCTTTTTCCTTTTACAATTTTATTTTTAAAGTTTTAAAATTACAAAGACAGCAAAATTTTCCCGGCACAATAACACTTGTTTAAAAAAAAAAGGGGGTAGGGGCGCGATCTTCCTATTAAAATTAAGAGACAACTGTACAGGTTTTTTCTCACAGCTCCTGGGCGTGAAACGTTAAGTACTAGCCCTAGATATGCATATATATTACATATATGTGAGTGCATACACTCACAGACTAGCTCAGTAAAACTACTTAGCAAATTCAAAATCGACTGCAGTATCTTGCTGTCCACTCCCTTCCCCAGCTACAACTACTTATAAAAGATTCAGAAGTAAAAAGGGGTCAAGGAGGTTTTTAAGTGGCTACTGGTGGGACTGGAGCCTCACCAGACCAAGCAAAGCCACCCGTTTCTTCTATGGGAGAAGCAAAAAAACTAAAGGAAATCTTCCTGGAACACAATCCGTCAAGTGTGTGGAAAAACCCAAGTTTCAACAGGGCATACTGAGGCACTTGGCTGACTGACTCCCCACCCTTCCCCCAAAGTTTCCATTCCCGGTTAACAAGACTTTGCCCAAGCCACAAAGAGCCCCCAATGGCCAGTACCTAGCTGAGTGGGAGAAGCTGCTTCTAACCAGCTGTCACTTTGCCTCCACTGCCCCAGCCCCTTCCCCAAGACAATAGGCCACAAGGGCAGACCAACAGAA